ATCCCCCCCCCCACCACTCACAAACACACATTCATAAAATAGACACACACGCATACACTCACAAACAAACTAAGGGCTCCCTCCACACTCCACATACAGGCACACACACACATACACACACGCGTGCGCGCACACATACACGCACACACGCACGCACGCACGCACGCACACACACACACACACACACACACACACACAAACACACTGCACGCTCACTCCCACACACATATTTTCATTCAGTTATAAGTTCCTTCCTGTCTTATGGTGTCTAATTGCATCTTTTTGCCGTAATAGGCAGAAACGACTCATGAATAATCCAAACCAATCACTGCACTCCAGTTTGTTAACCGAAATAATCCTTCTCTTTCACGCTAACGTAACACCTTCCCACTCATTTTCCTACCCCCCCCTCCTTTCACCCCCTTTTGCACTGCACTTTCTTTGAACTTCGTGCACTCAGAGCAAACACGTTTGAGGGGCTTCTGGACGCGGTGGTACATTCTATAGTGCGGCCAAAATTCGTAGGGCAACTTGTTGTCAAATATTTCCTAAACTATCAAACGTAGACTCTCCAACTTTTGCACAATGACGTGCATGAATTTGTCTTAGCAGATTTTGTAAACACTTCACTGGAAGCTGTATTCTTGAAAATTCCTTGATAAATCCTAATGAAAGATCCAAATGGGCAGTTTCTACAGATTTTAAAAGGTTTACAGCTGGGGCAACATCGCAAGTCCGTCATTGTTTTTCCAATCGTCACACAATCTTTATTGAACGCATGCTTTGAGAACTTTTAGTGCAAAAAATGTGTTTACAATTAAGTTAATTTCTTGTAACAAGTTTTGCCACTAAAACGTGTCATTGGTGAGCTGTGACGTAGGCCATAAGCGTATACAAAATGTGTGTGAGAAGCAGGAAATGCTGAGAACAATCCCATTTCCACGTGATGGAGATTTGCAGTATTTTACGTGAATTTTGAAGAAAAGTTTTAGAATCCAGCCCCAATTGTTGTGGAAAAATATGATTAAGTAAATACAAATTCATACAAACTGCTGTGAAAATTATGGATGACATTGATTGTTACGCCACGAATTTTTTACCGCAGTCCATGGCACTTTCATGTTTGGCTGAACTGAAAAACAAAATAAAACAAAATAAACCCACTTCTTTTTGTTGTTTTTTATGAAGGGAGGCCTGTGAGCGTGTTTTAAAGATGCGAATGTTTTACATAGCCCTCTTCTGGATAGGAACATTTCTCATCTCCTCTTATACAACCTGCATGTGCCAAAAATATAAGTCATTAGCTCAGCCCGAAACAAAGCCAGCTCTATTACTATTCCCTTAGCCGGGGTTATCCATCTTGTCATTCCTGTTGGTTGAAAGAATGTAGGTCTCAGAGCATGCCAATACAATTTGTAAAGTGTTACAATATTTGATACCAGCGTCCGTGGTGTAGGGGTTAAGCACTTCACTGTCTCACGCAGGAGACCCGAGTTTGGTTCCCTAGCGAGGAGAACATTAATTTTGTATCGAGTATATAGCCTATAGGTATTTCTGCTGGGATATTGAATGGTGTGTCTCTCTCAGCCTGGGTGAGCCTGCCAGCCCGCCTCCATAGTGATCTACATTGTGCTGATGGGGGCGTAAAAACATCTACATTAAAAAAAGTAATACAATATTCCACGTCTTCCGGAACCCAAGTTGCATTTTGCGGCTGGTTGGCCGGAGAACGAAATAAAGCTGTATTTTATCGTTACGAACCCACTGCTCGGCCAGCACGTAAACTGTGTTGAAAAAAGTACTGAAAACGATACAGAACGAAACAACCCCATTTAAGCCAAGACATGGACACCACTCACCAGTATCGAGCACATCCGGGTGGCTGTCGAGGAGTCTGGGCATGACGATTCCCGCCATGAAGGGCACTCCCACCACCAGCATGTTCCTTGATGACGTCATGTCCACGTGCTTCAGATTGGACAGACCGATGGAGATGAGCGTGCCGACGACCACCATCAGTATGCCGCCTGAGATAAGGGAAGGGTTGAGGGTTTTCATTAGGTTGAAAAGTAGTTAACTCTATGAGGACGTGGAGGACAAATATGTCGGACCAGTAACTGATCAAAGACATTGTTGCTGGATATTTCAAACCCACATTCACAGACCAGAAAAAAACAAAACATTCGTATTTTATTAAATACTAAAGTGGAATACCACCTGTAATGAATTTCATTTAGCGTCAAAGAGTCAAATGGTTCGGACATATAACTAAGTGCCCCCAAAACAGCTACGACAAGAGCTTACCACACCCGTGAATCTAGCATCAAATCAAAAGGAAGACCAAGAAGGACCTGGCTGGATCGGGTTAAAAAGGTCCTGGATCAACATAACATATCTATTACAGACGGGATACACTTAGCACAGGACCGAAACCTGCGCCTCCCCTGGACATCCAAAGGATACCAGAGGAAGAGAAAAGTAAAGGAAAAGTAAATTAAATGTATGTTGCCTGCTTTTTAAAAATGTTTCAGATAAAGAAAACAGACTAGGAAAATATGTACAAATAACGAGGTTATGCCCGAGACCAGCGCGTATTCAAGCAATGTCAAATGACCAGAATGCTCGCGCTCAATGGGGTAAAGCTTGATGGTTGAGATAGCTGGGACCAGTGGTCGGGAAGGGAGGGAATTCGGTAACTTGGCTATGTCAAGCAATGTCCACTGACAATTTCTACAAGACGGGTGGTCAGTGAATGTGTTCTTAAGCAAAAATAAATCCGTACCTCAAAACCCAGGATACCGTGTACTTTGTTTGAATCTCCTGCTTTCTTGCTTTCTTTATTGTACAAAGTAACTTACAGTATTTATGTGGCTTTGCATATTGGGTCATTGAAAGGGGATTTTCATTTTTTTAAAATCCGTGCCGTGGTATTTTCTTTTATTTCACCACAAAGAAGTTAGGATGATAGTGACACTAAAAAGGAAAAGATGAAGCAGACCACTTTAGGCCACACCCCCAACCAAATAAAAAACCGAACAAAAACAAAACAACAATAACAAATACTACTTGTTACAGGCAAAGACCGAGAATTTGATTCGAAGACAATGTTTCACGCATGTCTGTGCCTCTGCTGGGATGTGGTCAAACACGGGTAGAATTGGAGAAGGTTGTCCTCGAAAAGACCAACATTGCTTTAATCAACTGAATGGCTTTAAAAGTCTCTTTTAAAACTGTAAACCGGCGTCTCTGGTGCAGTGGTTAGGCGCTTTGGTGTTGCACTCTGGAGACACGAGTTCGGTTCCCGAGTTGGGAGAAATTTTCATCAAGTATCTCGGTTTTTCTGCTGGGATGTTGTATCCCTTTCAGCCCAGGTTGGCCCTGACATACAGGTTCGGAAGCCCGCCACTGAAATGATCAAAATTGTGTTGATGGGGCCGTAAAAAAGCATTACATTTAAAAAAAGCCACTTCGTTTATTTCCTAATTCAATGTGCATCTCCGATAGAGCCAACCCATGTAGAAGGAAAACATTGAAATTAATTCTACACGCCTCATCCCGGGTTTGAACAAGGATCAACCGCGCTATAGCCCAGCATGATATCAACTGAGCTAACGGGATATTCCTTCATATTAGTGGTAAGCCGAAGGTCAAACTGCTCACCGATAATCGGGTTAGGTATGGCCGTCAGCGCAGCGCCTGCTTTGCCTATGAGGGAGAGTCCAATGAGCATCATTCCGGCGGTGTACATCACAATCCTGCTCGCTGTCTGAAAATGGAAAACCAAATAATATTATGTAATTGAAAGCTGACAATACAGTCGGAATTGGGTGAGACGACCACTTCTTGTCCAGGAGAAAAGCGGCAGTCCTTAGACAGGTGACCGTCTTACACAGTGACATTATGACCAAAAAAACCACCCGCTAAAGGGAAATGGGAAGCGCCATTTGCACAGGTGATTGTCTTATAAAGGTGGCCGTTAGAGCTGGTACACTCTATCATAATTTTTGTTAGGTTTTAGCTTACAAGACTAAGCACCAGAACGAAGACAGTTCACCAGGAACAGGTAAGGACATTAATAACTTTGAAACGTAAGTACTAGGAGATGAAATTTACTCGAGCGTACCGGCAGTGAGTGTAAGGAGTAGGGGGGGATGGAAGGCTGTAACTTGTACCTGTGAGCTTGTGAGAGGGATGGCGTGGGAACGTGTGTGTGGGGTGGGAAAGGGAGGGGAGCAGGAAGATCAGTAAAAGGATGGGAGGGGCTTGTTTGCAATGGGTTAGTTAAGGATTGTGTTGCCTTGAGACAGATTGGGCAAATGCATGATCAGATAGGAATGGGCCGGACCGAGAAAGGGCATGGGCAAAGGCACACTTTATCAGAGAAACCTCTGCTATTCTTCATCAATTTGGACACAAAAGTCCATCAGGGCCTATCGCATTTCGCACGCAAACTAAAGATATGACACTCCCCCCCTCCTCCATAATGTCTTTGTGGTACGTAGGCTACCGACCTGGTGGTTGGCTGTTTTCACCACAATCTACCCAAACTGTGAACTAGAAAATCGAGAATGTTTGAATCGGGAGGGGTTTATCGAAACGCGCTATAACGTTAGCTTTTGTCCCTCCGTGAAGGAAAATCTGTCCGCCCACAATTGTATAAAGCCATATCAGATAGGGATTTGGCGAAATTTTCTGTAGTGTGCACCGGGAATTACGGGAATTACGGGCTTTACTACAGTCTGACGTGTGAGATTCGTGTAAATCCCAAAGGAAATACTACCCCAGAAGACGTGAACATCAAATTGGGGCTGAAAATAAAACGAACAAACGCAAATTTATGCCCTGGAATTCTGCAAGGGCATTCTAAGACCAAGAGTGTAAAAGACAAAGCCACGATAAGACTCGTGCCGTTGGTCAATCGCTGTCCTCCATTTTGATATCTCTTACTTTTGCTCTACTTTTAAAATAGACAAAGGAAGGAATTTATTTTCTTTATGTAGCACACCTTTTTACATTCCATATTTATGTTATGAGTATAGTAGTCCTTGGTTCAAGGTTATTACGTGGCTTTTGACGTTGTAATATGGCATTAGAGATTACAATATGACAAATGAAGTTACAATGCATTGGAAAACAGTAGGCGTGTATTTGGTTAAAAATATAAACCTACAAAATGCCACTATGACTATGTCATCTTGATCAGTTGATTCTAGTATGAGCAGTACAACATTTCGACAGAATGACTTTAAGAGGACCCTAATGATAATACAAAGTAATAGATTGCATTTTTACTACGCTTTATCCCTTACTTTACCTTGGTAAGACTGAGCACGGCGATGTTGCCGCTGTATGAGGTCGTGGCGTGTCCAGCGCCCACCGCCCCCGAGAGCACACTGCCCAGACCCTCCATCAGGATTCCTCGGGAGATAGCGTGGGTCGGTGGGCGTGGCACCCCACACACCACCTGAGCGGCGTAATAGTCACCCACTGACTCCATCATTGATGCTATGAAGGCCACAAGGAAGCCTAGGGTCAATGCCAGGTGGAACTTCGGGAGGCCGAACTGACCTGAATAAGGAGATACAAGTGTTGGCGTGATTGGTTGCAAATGTTTTACATCCCCATGGATACGATTTAGACATTTCAGCAGGTCATTGTTCTTGGCCCTATTCCTGTCCCGGCCTTCTAGGGCTGAGACGGATGCATCATAGCTGTTAGATGGGGATATTCGATCAGACACTTCCCCACACGAGAGATTTATCAAATGATGAAGACTCCAAAAAGCAATGTCTATTTATTCATCTAGTTTTGACGAGAAGACGGGCTAATTCTGTGACAAATGTAAGCTCAGGTTAACTTTAACAAGTACAACATGACGAGGCCAGCCTCTTACTGGCGTCCATGGGAGAGCAACGAGAGCCAGTGCAAGTCTCTTGTTGTACTTTAGTATGCACCTCGCGTGTAGAACATCCGTACTTCAATTTGTCACCTGATCGCCTTCATATTCAATGCTACTACAAGCAAACCTGTGTGTTGAGGATCACAAAACAAACCAAATTAAGGTGTTTGATTTTGGACGATTAAGCCTAAAAACAGAGCAATTTGTGGAGGAAATCTAGTCAGGACAGTGGCAGTCATTATAATATAGATCCTGCAAAATCCCACGAAACTCGCTTTAATGCCGAGCGTACACTCTAATAGTAGAGCTAGTAATACAACAAACAGATTTGCTACCAGTAGTTAGATTTCGCAAATAATTTCCAATAGATGGGCTTAGGGTTTCAGAAAAACAAGCTGAATTACTAAACCAAAGGCATGTTAGGCATCGCAGTGAAATCAAGCACTCGTCAAAATAATGAAATCGAAGAAAGTGGCACTTTCCGCCGGAATGGCAATTTTTATTGAAGTTTTGACTTTTGGCTCTACACCGTTTATGTCCATTTAAAAACGTACTATTTCTGTGTAGATTTAACTGAGAAACGTTGATTAAGGGCACAAAAAATGTTAATTTTCAAGCTATGGAAGTCACCAAACTTTGGCGGCCATTTTCTTGTTAATTCTACCTCTTACACCAGGCGACCTCA